TATGTACCTCCAAAAACAGTTGATATTTTTGTTTTAGCAGGAAATTAACTCAGTCCTTAACGGTTTTTTGGACAGTAGCTTAAATCTGCTCATTTCTTTTTGTTTTAGTTTGGCTACTTGGAATTTGCCCTGCACATGAGCAGTTCAGTGGTCAACTAGATACTTGGACATAGTTTATTCTATACATAGATTCTGGGGCTTCCCCTCTCTGATTCTCTCCTCACTTCTCAGTGGCTTTTGTTTTTCTGTACTCTGTCCTCTGCTTCTTCAGTCAAGAAATATTGTGGGTTTTCTACCTGAGTTTCAGCGTTCCTATCTAGGGCTCACCAAGTGTGGCCTGTCTTGGTCTATAAAAGCCATAAAAAACAGGTTATGCCCACTGGGGAGGCCCCTCCTTCCAAGTGTCTACTCTTTCCCAGGTATGTCTGCTTGGTTCTGTAGGGGCTGTCCCTGGGCAAATTGGCTTAAGCCCAGAGTCAGCGAAACTGGGTGTGCTCTCCTTGGCGCCAGAGGTCAACAGGTCCGCACATCGGCCTGTTGGACAAACAGAACTATTCCTCATGACAGATAGCTTTATGATAGATAACCAAGTGCCTGGGGTCTTGCAAACAAGCCAAGGCATCTCATTGTCCTGCATACGGTAATGAGATAAAGAAGTTAAGATACAAGAAGTTAAGATGCAAACGTCTGCTTCCCTTAAGCAATCGTGTGGAAGGAATGAAAACGTATTTTTCTCAGGGCGCCCAAGGTAGTCACGTACCAGGAAGTAGCTGCCGGACATAGAAAAACTATATAATAAAGCGACTGGTAGAATTATCTACCTCAGTCTTGTACGTCTTGTGTGTGTCTGTGTGTTTCTTTCTGTGTCCATCCCCCGTTCTGCAATCCGGGCCACGACAGGTTCATTCTCCAGTGCCTTCAGATGTTTGTGTATTATGTCCAAAGTTCGTAGTTGTTATACGTGGGAGGATTGGTCTAGGATTATTATTCAGCCATCTTGGAAGCATAATTCCTGGGTGTTTTAAATTTGAAATAAAAATTTTTTTAGAAGGGGCAGGTTAGCATAAAAAATTTTTAAAAAAATAACAGATAAACACAGAGAATAACATTTTAGACAGTATTAGTCCCATGGATGGTAGGAAATGCCTTTTGAGGCAAAACCCTCACCAGGTCACTTATTTTTAAAAACAGGCTTCTGCCCACCCTTCTATACTCAAGTAAGGCATAAAAAACACTTCCAGATCCCCTCTACCATGACTGTCTAGGCAGGGTTAGGGTTACAGGTATCCTGGAGTGTTTTGATATTACCTGGACTTTCCTTTATCACTGCAATTTCATATTACTATAACTACTTGCTAATGTTACTGGCAACATTGCTGCTAATCCCACTATATGGTGGGATCCTTGAAGTAGGAAATTGTTTCAATTATCTCAGTTTCCAGTAAGTGCTATATCAATAATTTCTAGTGATTCCTGAGCCCTTAGTAAACAGGAACGTGCTAAGAGCTTTGCATGATGTATTTCATTTATTCCTTGCCACGACATTTTAATATAGGCAGAGAGCTGATACTGCCCTAATTTTAACAGATAAGTAAATAGGCTGAGAAAGTGAGGCAATCTGTCTAAGGTTACACAGATGGTGGAACCAGGATTGTAATTTAGCAACCTGACTTGATTTTTGGATACATGAAAAAATGAGTAAATTGAACTTTGGACCCCTGTTTTCCAGATGTTGTAGAACAGGGTGAATGTGTGAACTGAAACATGTTCTCTTTCTCTGGGCCTTAGTTTCTTTATACCCCCTTGTACCATGACATTTTGTCATTTCTTTTTAAGTTTTAGTGATGTTTAAATACAAAATAATGTATTATTAATTCTCATTGCCAAAAAAAAAAAATTCAAACATTACAGATTAAGTCAAGTTTACTTCTTCCTCACCAGAAGTTAACTATTATTGAAGGGTTTTTTGGTTTCTTCCAGGCCTTTAATGTATACTCATACACGGTACTATTTTCCATAAATGTTAGCATACTTTCTGTAATTTTCTGCAAATTTGTTTTATTATGTCTTATAGACTTTTCACATTAGTGCTTATAAATCTATTTCATTCTTTTAAATAGATGTATAGCATTCCCTAGAATGGCTATTCCATTATTTATTCAACCATCCTCCTAGTTGTGGTCAGTTAGGTTGTTTCCAGTTTTCTTCCCATTAGAAAATAGTGCTGCACTACAAAGCTTTGTCCATACATCTTTTGGGGATTGCTTCTCAAGGGCATGTTCTGCAGTTTTAATTTTTTTTGATGAGTAAGGCTGTTCTAATTATGGGGCATTTTAAATCACTATTTAATTCAAGTAGAGAACAGAGAAATTCTTCTGTGGTTAGATGACCATATTGATAAAAAATGCTATTGATAACTATTAGGGCCTGCATGCTAGGTGCACATTCTTGAAGTCAAATCAGAAGTCCAACAATATGACAACACTTCTTATATTAATATTTACAGAGATTAATCATATATTATTTGTAATTCCTGTCTTATTATTATTTCACTTCTTTGTAACCTGATATTCCTTTCTCTAACATAGACATAGGTTGCCTTATCCAGTGTTTTATTCTGGGAATGGTCTTCTTAGATTCTCCTATAAACATGTATCTGGGCTTAATTAATTACTATAATTCAGCAGGTTTTGTAGAGATAGGATCTCACTATGTTGCCCAGGCTGGAATGCAGTGGCTACTGACAAGAATGATCACAGCTCACTGCAGCCTCAAACTCCTGGGCTTCTCTTTCTATCTCAGCCTCCCAAGGAGCAGGGACAAGAGGGCACCAGCAAGCCAGATTCAGTATTTTCAGTACCTGCATGTAGCTCACACCGTCTGGGAACTGAGAGATGTAGTAGTGAATAAAACACACAAATATCATTACCCTCATGGAGTTTTTCATGCTACTGACGGAATATATAATAAAAAACAAACAAGTATATATATGCTACATCAGATAGTGATATATTCTTTGGAGAAAACTAAAGCTGAGTAGGGGAAAGGAGAATTTTGGGGGGTTGCAATTTCAGTAGGGTGGTAGTGGATGACCTCACTGAAAAGGAGGTGCTGACCAAGCCCAGAGGGAAGTCAGGGAGCATGAACCATGGAATAAAAGGGCACGTGGAAAGCATTTTAGGTAAAGGGGACTGCAAGCACCAGGGCCCTGAAGCAAAAGTGTGCTTGTCAATTTGTCCTAATCATACATGCTTTATTCCAGTCCTCAGCCCCTTCAACCCTGTAGCATTAAGTGCCCTGAGATTGCTACATTCATTTTTTACCTTGTGATGGCTCTGGACAGCAACTGCCATTTCCTCCAACCTGTGGAGCAAGGCAGCAAAGCAGTTAGTAGTGGGATCAGTACAGGTGGGCATCATACCTCCTCCAAGAAGTTCCCCCAGATCCTTCAGGCCTTTGCTCTTCCGAGACATTGTTTGCACTTGTCTTTAAAGACCTTTCCACAATTTGCCCTGTTTCAGTCGTTTATATACTGATTAGACCTGTGCTGCCTAATATAGTAGCTGCTAGTCGTTTAAATGTGGCTAGTAGGAATAGGATGTGCTTTAAGTGTAAATACCAGATTTCGAAGACTTACCGTAGTGTAAGAACCGGTTCCCCTCGGCCCCAGGAACAGAGAAGCAGAGTCACCGAGGATGCAAATGGCAAATGAGTTTATTTGCTAGCTCGAGCTAGGGTCCAAGTCCCAGAGCACCAACACAGTGGCCTCCCTAGGAACCAGGACCCCGCCCCGGGGTAAAAGTGAAGCTTTTATACTTTTGGTTGCGCACGACACACCGGTGGCCTACGATACGCTGAGCCCACCATCCCCTTTCCCCCTTTGTCCATTGGTTCCTTTAAAAGTGGAGGATTGTTTTGACCCCTGATTGGGTGGTCCCAAGCCTCAGGATTTTCAATTTTCGCGCAGGCGCCAGTTCTGATCTGCGTTTGGGGAGGGGGACTGAGACTTAGGCCTACTCTAGGAAGTTCAGCCTGTCATGGAGTTACTCCCGCCCTGTTTTTTGATTAACTATTTGACTAACAACTAAAAGCAAGCACGGTTACAGAAGCAAATGGCATTAGTTAAAATCAAAGAGAACACATTTTTCTAATCTAAAACAGTTTCTGTTCCACACAAAACAAAGTACATTCTCCTACTATCAATTCCTGCCTTTCAGTAGTAACTATTTCACTAACAACTTTACAATATTGCGTACATGTTTAAATGATAATAATATTTTGGCTTTGTTGGGTTAAGATATATTACTAAATTTAATTTCACTTGCTTTTTTCCCACTTAAAACATGTAGCTAACAGGAAATTCAAAGTTAGGTATGAGGTTCGCATCCTATTTCAGTTGGGTAGTGCTGGGCTAGACCCTCACTGGGCCGCGGGTTCACTGGGAGGGACCCCAGCCTGCGTCAAGCAGGTAGACGACAGGACAACCCACGGCTGTGGCTCTGCAGAGCCGACAGAGGCTACAACGACGGGAGAGCCCACAGAAATCCCAGATGAGAGCACTCCTGTGACCAACGCCACCGGCCACACACCAGGCAGGGAGGAAGGGGATCCCGTGCGAAAGCGCAAACTCCAGGTGGACGCCGGGCCTGCACCATCGCCAGCGCGTCGCCCCGCCTCTTTGCGGCAGCGCTCAGGCCGGTGCAAACCGGTTCAGTGCCCTGACAGACGTCCCACGTCACTAATCGGCAGCACGGCCCCTGCTCCCTGGATCCCGGTGGGAGAGCTGGAACCTTTCGCACCCAGCGTCCCGGGAGGCGGCTCTGAGCCCGACGGACTGTACCTTCAGCCTATGAAAACACCGGGGGCGCCACGGGGTGGCAGGCGACCAGTGGCATCAGCGTAAGGGCGAGCCTCCCTGAGCGCTGGCGCCGCGCGGCGGCGGCGGCAGCGGGGACGGAGGCCTGGCACGCTGGCGCCTGCGCGGGGAGGGGCCGGCGGGGTGACGTGATTCCGCCCACACCGCCCCCCAGTAAGTCGAGCGCGCAGCGCGGGGGCGGTGCCTGGCCGGCCGCCGCCTCCCCTCGGCGTTCGCGCAGCCGGTCTTTGTCCGGGCGTAGCGCTTTGTTCTCGGCGCCCGTCCCTAGGTCGGCCGGGTGCGCCGACCAGCAGCTCTGCGCCGAGCTGGCGTCGTCCTCGCCCCCGTCGCCGCCGCCCCCCGCGCGCGGCCGTGCCCTGCCCCCCACGGTGTCGCGGTCCGAGCCCGAGGGCGAGGCCATGGACGCCGAGCTGGCGGTGGCCCCGCCGGGCTGCGCTCACCTGAGCAACTTCAAGGTTGACAACTGGAAGCAGAACCTGCGGGCCATCTACCAGTGCTTCGTGTGGAGCGGCACGGCGGAGGCCCGCAAGCGCAAGGTGCGGCTCCCCCCGAGACCCCGCCGGGCCGCCCCCGCCCCCACGGCGTCGCACGGCTCGCGGGCGCGTGGGGGCTGGGAGCGGGGGAAGGGAGGGCTTGGGAGCCTCCAGCTGCCCCCACCCGGACTGCGCTCTGCGGCAGAAGGAAGGGAGGGCCCTTCTCCTCCCTCCTCCTCCCTCCCTTCCCCTCTCTTCTGGCTCTACTCTCTTCCCTTCCTCCACTCTTTTCTCCCCCTCCCTCCTCTTCCCTCCTCCCTTCCTATCTCTCTCGGTCTCCTCTTTTCCCCCTCTTTTTTTCCGTTTCTCTCCCTCCCCTCCGCTCCCCGGCTCGGGGTGCGGGGGTGGGACGGAGCAGGGGCGGGGTGTGTGTGTGTGTGTGTGTGTGTGTGTGTGTGTGTGTGTGTGTGTGTGTGTGTTAGGGGGCCGGTTTCGTCTCGCAGGGCTGAGTGGCGAGCGTGGGACTGCGGACGAAGGTCTCTGGCGTTCCAGCGCGAGGCCCCTGAGAGGAATCCCCAGGGGCTGCAGGATTCGGGGGCGGGATGGGGCGCCGAGAAAAAAAATAAGTAAAAAGACTGTCGGGGCCTGGGTGGCGGTCTGCCCGCGGCGCCGTCTCGAGCACCCAGGACCCTGGGATGTCCGTCCTTTCCGGCCAGGGCGGACGCGCTGGGACTGGAGGGCCTCAGGGTGTCGCCGCAGCCCTGGTGGTTTGCAGGGACAGCTGTAGGGCAGGGCGGCTCGCCTGCCCCAGTTCAGACGTGGAGCGGGCGGCGCTGGAGACGTGGGGAGCACCGCCGCGGTGGAGAGCTGCAACCGGGAGAGGCGGGCGGCCACGACCTCTAAGGATCTGTGCTATAGCTCCGGAGGAGTGGGTTTGAAAGGAGAGGTTGGGTTGATGGGAAGGTGGGGTTTCTTCCTTCTGCAATAAGAGCCTTTAACCAGAAATCACGTTCATCCAAGCAGTTAGGCTTATTAGTGATGTGGAAATCAGAAAATAACATTATTGCCTCTTAGCTGAATAAACTTCTGTTTTTACAACTTAATTTTGCAGGTACAGTCTGAGATTGGGAGTTGTTAGCAGTTTCCACCTTGAGCGTTTTTAGTAGGAAAACAAATCTGAGATTGTAGGGAATATTAAGCATTAATTCTTAAAAAAAATTTTATTAACGACTATGCTGGGAAACATTACCTCTTAGGATGAACTAAAATCAGAAAGGAAGAAACACATTAGGATCAGAGTGCATCCCATTCTGGCATTTTTCTGACAGCCTCTTCGGGTATTTAAGATTTTGCATACATTAAGGTTTCATTTTTGTGCTGTAAAGTTCAGTGGATTTTGACAGATGCAGCCACCACTATGGTACTATACATAATAGTTTCACTGCCTATAAAAAGTGCCCTATAGCCTGTAGTCCCAGCTACTTAGGTAGGCTCGAGTAGGAGGATTGCTTAAGCCTGGGAGTTTGATTACAGCCTGGGCAACATAGTGAAACCCTGTCTCAAAAAAAAAAAAAAAGTCCTCCCCAACCGCCGATTTGTTCTCCATCTCTGTTAGTAAGTCAAATAAAAGTTACTTTAAAACTTGCACTGTGATACCAAGACAGTTGTGTCTACTAAATGACTAGTGGGCAGGTAGCATAGACAGCGTGGAGACACTGGAAAGAGGGAGGATGCATGAGACAGAATGGGATCGTTCTTGTTTTTATTGTGCTCTTCAGAATGGTGTACAATTTAAAATTTATGAATTATTTCTGCGTTTTCCATTTCATGATTTCAGACTGTGGTTGATGGCAGGTAAGGGGAGACTTATTGTGGTACTTCACATTTATCTAGGATTTTACATTTTATAGAGCACTTTTTATACATTATTTCATAATGGTGTCACTAGAGCCCAAGATCTCTTTTCTTCTTCTTTTTTTTTTTTTTAATTAAGAGATGGGGTCTTGCTCTGTTGTCAGGCCAGAGTACAGTGGTGCGATCATAGCTCACTGCAGCCCCCAATGCCTGGGCTCAGGCAGTCCTCCCACCTCAGCCTCCTGAGTAGCTGGGACTACAGGCATGCGCCACCATACCCAGCTGATTTGTTTATTTTTTGTACAGCTGGGAGTCTCACTATGTTGCTGAGGCTGGTCCTGAACTCCTGGTCTCAAGCTGTCCTCCACCTCACCCTCCCAGTGCACTGGGATTATAGGTGTGAAATACCTGCCTGGTCTGTAAGATCTGTTTTAGCCCTGAGAGTCAAAGGTCTGAAGTCTGGTGCTCTAAGGCTTCTGAGTTTGGGGGATTTATTTGAGAAGCTTGTCTAATTTCAGTCAAGTCTTTAGCTTTTTAGTGGCACAGTTTTTTCATGTAGAAAATAGAATATTTATACCTGAACCTTCACTTACATCGTCACTTGCAGTAGAAAAGTATTTTGAGACCTTGAAAAAGTCATTGAAGAGAATGCATAAGATTAAACTTAGTTTAAAATTATCAGGTTTTAGTAGACGGGTAGTATAGTAGTTGGAAGCTGTGGGTAGTGTGTGAAATGTGCATTAGCTCTTAAGGCGCTGTTTCATGTTTGTACATTTCTTTAACCTGGACTCAGAATTGACTGTACAGTTGAGTCACTCACTGGTATGAGTCCATGCATGTTTGACTCAGTGATCTGTCCCCCTTCTTGGGGCAGGAGAGGGTGTGAGAAAGTAGATATCAAGAGGAATATTAGTATTAGAAGTGGGAGTCCACTCGCTCAAGGCTTCTTGGGCATGGCTCCAGGTCATAGTCCTCAGAAAAACAATTAGGACTCAATTAATGCACTTTCAGTATGTTTCTTACACTGTGCAAAATCAACATCTATTTAAATTATTGATCCCTTTCTTCTGTTCTTGTCGCAAATCCTTGTCGTGTTTCAGAATTTATTGGCCAGGTACTGAATCTACTTGAATTAATTTATAGTAGAAAGGGATTTAATAACAAAAATTATTGCAAGGGCTATGGGAGCAGTAGGTTCTAGGCTGAATTTCTGGGAAAGCCTGCCAGCCCACAGAATCCTCCTGCCTCTGTAGACCAGGAAGTTTGCTGTGCTACCCCCTTCGCAGGAAGTTACAGGACCAGTAAACTGACCTAACATGACTGCTGACGGAGGGGCCTCACTGCCTCTGGAAGCCACCACACTGGGAAGCAGCTCCCGTGGCCCTGGCCTCCAGAAACAATACCACCTTTGTAGGGGCCACACCAGCAACCTTCGCTGACTCAGATGAGCACTGTGGTCTGCTTTGTGCCCTAACTCATGGTAGGAGCCCAAGCTGCAGGGTTGTTTGGGGAGTTAATCTTCCAACTTTACAGTGTGGGTTGAAGGGAGTTAGAATAATAGCGAACATGAATCCAGTATTAGTGTCCTGTGGCTGCTGTAACAGATTACCACAAACTGAGTGGCTTAGAACAACAGAAACTTACTCTCTCAAATTCTCAGGCCTGGGCTGGGCGTGGTGGCTCATGCCATTAATCCTAGCACTCTGGGAGGCTGGGGCGGGTGGATCGTTTGAGCTCAGGAGTTCTAGACCAACCTGAGCAAGAGCAAGACCCCATCTCTACTAAAAATAGAAAGAAATTAGCTGGACAACTAAAAATATGTATATAGAAAAAAATTAGCTGGGCATGGTGGCGCATGCCTGTAGTCCCACCTGCTCGGGAGGATGAGGCAGGAGGATCGCTTGAGCCCAGGAGTTTGAGGTTGCTGTGATCTAGGCTGACACCACGGCACTGTAGTCCGGGCAACAGAGTGAGACTCTAGCTCAAAAAAAAAAAAAAAGAAAAAAATTTTCAGGCCTGAAGTCCAAAATCAGGTGTTGGCAGGGCACTCTCTCCAGAGGCTCTACGGGAGACTCTGTTCTTGGCCTTTTCCAGAATCTGGAAAACTCAGCCCTATCACTTCATCTCTGTCTTCATGTGGCTTTGTGTCTCTTTCTCATGGGGGACACTTGTGATGGCATTTAGGGCCTGTCTACAGAATCAAGTGTAATCTTCTCAAGACCTGAAATTTAGCTTTTTCCAAATAAGGTAACATTGATAGGTTCTGGGGATTTAATCACTTGCCTTTGATTAAGCATCATGCCTTTGAGTTTCAGACCTACAAATGATGTTATGTGTCTTATGATATCTATTTGTCAGTCAGAGCCACTTGAGTTTCCATAGATGGCTTTAGCTTCTGTGGTGAGTGAACTCAGGAGACATACTGTGCAAAGAACTCTGTCTATAATTTAATAATGCCCATTTTAGGATCTAGAACCATGCTGTACGATACTAGCCGTATGTGTTATTTAAATCCGTTAAAATGAAATAAAATTAAAAATTCAGTTTCTTGGTAACACTGTTCACATATCAAGAGCTTGATGGCCACATGTGGCTAGTGGCTACTGTTATTAATATAATGGACGATTCCAACATCATAGAATATTCTGTTGGACAGTGCTGATTAGAGGAATAATAATGCAGTCTTGTGTTACTTAATGATGAGGATATGCTCTGAGAAATTCATTGTTAGGCAATTTTCTCATTGTGTGAACCGTATAGAGTGGAGATGAACCTAGATGGTACAGCCTATACTACACACCTAGGTTATATGGTACGACCTGTTGTTCTTAGGCTATAAACCTGTACAGCATGTTACTGTACTGAGTACTGTAGGCAATTATAACCCAATGGTAAGTACTTGTGTATCAGAATATATCTAAACATAGACAAGGTATATGCACATATGGTATTAAAATTTTATGGGTTCACCATTGTATATGTGGCCCACCATCGACCATGCAGTGCATGACTGTACAAAAGACAAAGTTCAGATTTTATGAATATGCCAAAGATTTCTTTTTTCTATATTTAGCACCATTTGCCTTGTTGGTTGGCTGCTTGATTAATGTTAGAAAGAGAAGCTGTCTCTTAGCTGTGTTGGATCCCTCAGCCCAGGGAAATGTGTCTTTCTGGGTGAGTGGTAGACCACTTACAGTGGGCATCCTCAGTCATGTGTCTAATTGTCCACATCTGCAAGTGTGACAGTCACCCAAAGAGGAATAACTTGGGTCCTTATTGAGTACTTTTTTTCCTTCTTAGATATTCTTTTTATTCTATATGAATTGAGATTATACCCCTTATAACAGTGATCCCCAGCCTTTTTGGCACCAGGGACTGTTCTTATGGAAGACAATTTTTCCATGGACTGGTGGGGGGAGGGGATGGTTTTGGGATGATTGAAGTGCATTACGTTTATTGTGCATTTTATTTCTATTATTATTATGTTGTAATATATAGTGAAATAATTATACAACTCACCATTGGTTGGGGATCCCTGCCTTATAAGAAAGAAACATTTATTCCATAGAATTCCATATTATTTTGAGCTCTGCTCAAATTCTGCCTCTTATATACAAAGTTTTCTGATTTCCCTCAATTCTCCTTGATTGGATATGGTTGTTCTCCATTTAATTTTCATAGCATTTCATTTATATCTTAGTATATGCATATAGATTACTATGTGTTTATTTTGTATTGTGGTTCTCATTCCTCTTAAAGAAAGCATATACCTTGATGACTCTTCATAAAGCAAATGTAACTGGAGTTGCAAAGAGGAGAGGGAATGGCACCCAGCACTCCAGAAGCCCCCTGGTGCCTCTTCCTGGTCCCTACCTTCTACCCTGAGGGTTTCTGCTGTTCAGACTTGCATAGCCATCAGAGCTCTGCCCGTTCTTGTGCTTTTAGTATGGGAACGTGTGCACAGTACGTACTTGTTTGTGCCTGACTTTTACTGGTGTTAGATGTGTGAGGTTCATCCACACTGCTGAGTATACCGCAGGGTCTTTGTCATTGTGGTATACCGTTGAATATCTATGCCATGGTTTATTCTTTTCACGTTTTTGTTTATTTTCAGTGTTGTGCTATTACAAACGATATTGCTGTAAATGTTGTTTTAGGTGTCTGTTGTTGCATATAAACCTAGGGGCAGAATGGTTGGGCTATGGGATAATACATTCAGCTTCACAGTTGTTTTCCCTTAATTTACTTTTTTTTTTTTTTGAGACAGAGTCTCACTCTTTTGCCCAGGCTAGAGTGCCATGGCGTCAGCCTAGCTCACAGCAACCTCAAACTCCTGGGCTCAAGCGATCCTTCTGCCTCAGCCTCCCGAGTAGCTGGGACTACAGGCATGCGCTACCATGCCCTGCTAATTTTTTCTATGTATTTTTAGTTGTCCGATTAATTTCTTTCTATTTTTAGTAGAGATGGGGTCTCGCTCTTGCTCAGGCTGGTTTCAAACTCCTGAGCTCAAACAATCCGCCCGCCTTGGCCTCCCAGAGTGCTAGGATTACAGGTGTGAGCCACCGTGCCCGGCCCCTTAGTTTACTTTTGAAACTAAGAAACCTACAACAAATAGCAAGACTACTAAAATGAATATAATATACATTTACCTAGATTCATCAGTTGTTAGATTTTGCTAATTTGTTTTATGTCCCTATGTAATTTTTGGGGGGAATCATCTGAGAGCTGGTTGTAGACATGATGGTTTACCCCTAAGAGCAGGAACGTTCTCCTGCATAACCACAATACAGTTAACAGAAGAAGTTTAATTTTGATACAATAGTATTATGTAATATATTGTCCATATTTAAATACCCCAATTGTCCCAGTAATGACCTTTATGGCTTAAAAAATGTGCATATGAGATTCAGTCCAGGGTCATGTATTATGTTTATTTTCATGAGTCTTTTTAGATTCTGTTCAGCTAGTCAACTTTTGTCTTTCATTACAGTGATATTTTCGAAGAGCTCAGGTCAGTCACTTTGCAGAAGTCCTTCAGTTTTGAGTTGCCTCAGTGTTCCTCTGGGGCAGATTCAAGGTGAGCCTTGCTGGTGGGAGCTCTGTAGGTGGCCCTGTGTGCTCTGTACCTGCCCGTCCCATTGGGGGATGATTTTGGTTAAGGTTGAGTCGGCCAGAGTTCTCTATTGTAAAGGTAACCTTTCCCCTTTTAACTGACAAAAGTCGTCTCTGGGGTGATACTTTGAAACTGTAAATATCTAGTGCCTCAGTACACACACACACATATGTGTATACCGTTGGTCTCCACATCTGTGGGTCCAACCAAGTGCAGATTGAAAATACTTGGTTGGGGTGGGGATAAAAAAGGATAGTTGCACTTCCAGACAGTACGTACAGATCCTTTCCTCGTCGTCATTCCCTCAGCAATGCAGTGCGACTGTTACACAGCGTTTGCCTTGTGTTAGGTATTACGAGTGATCTAGAGATGACTTAAAGTATACGGGAGGGTGTGCACAGGTTATGTGCAAGTACTACAACATTTTATATCAGGAACTTGAACATCCGCGGTTCTTGGTATCCACAGGGTCCTGGAACCAATTCCCATGTATAACTTATTTTTTTACTGAGGTGAAATTCATATAAAACTAGCCATTTTACCATGAGTAGTTCTGCATTGTGTTACATGGCCCCAGTGCTGTGTGGGCACCACTGCACCTCTGTCGGATCTCAGAACATTTCCATCTGTTCTCGGTTCCTCCTCTCCTAGGCCCTGGCATCCTCAGATCCGTCTCTGCAGATGTACTTATTCTGAGGATTTCATATAAATAGAATCACAGGATATGTGATCTTTTGGGTCTGGCTTCTTTTACTTAGTTTTCAAGGTTCATTTATGTAGTGTGTGTCAGTACTTTCATTCTTTTTTATGGTGGAATAATATTGCATTGTATATATGCCACAGTTTGTCCACTCATCCATTAATGAATACTTAGGCTGTTTCCACTATTTTGGCTATTGAGAATGACCCAGTATTTTTTTACGCAGTGATTTTAGCATCCCCTGATGATTCTTGCCTGACTCAGTTATTACTATGATGATTATGAAATGAAGAGCTATATTTTTGTTATGACATTTGTGAGATGGAATTCTCCTGTGAAGAAGACTTCTAAGGGGTGTGTGTGTGTGTGTATAGTATTAATTTATTATGGACATAAGGATTTTCTTTTTATTCAGTATAAAATATTCATTCTTGTTATTCATTTTTATGCTCAAATTATGCCCAGATTGCCCAGTGGGGATTCCTTAAGCTGGTTAACCCCTGTTCACACGTCCCCTTAGTGTTATAAGTCAGTGGTGTTCCTGGGTGATTTGAGCATGTAAGAACTGCTTGCACTGCACTCAGAATTGCTGTGATCGAAATTTTAGGTTTCCTTGGTCTGTTTCTTGGTAATAAACAGTTCCTTTTTCTCGTTCCTGTATATTTGCTTTGATTCATGTCCCCCTCCCTTTTTCTTTTTTCTTCTAAATTTGCTGTAGTCTTGGAACCTGGGTTATCAAACCTAAAATGATGTCCAGGTTAAGGGTGACTGGATGTGAGTTACCAGCATGCAGTGGGGATGGGCAGTGCCCTGTTGGACCTCTGGAGGAAACATCCCAGTACTTGCCAGGTTTCAGTGGTTGAGGTTGTGGACTGAGTTTTCCTATATGGAGCTAGTTTTGAGCTAAATGAAGTAAGTCCCTTTTGGGGGAATTGGAAGTATTAACAAAGTGATCTTTCAGAGTCATAAGACTTTGAGATGAAATTCCCTGTCCTTTCCTCCTGTCGCTGTACCGACTGTGGATCCCTTTGCTTGAGAACTCCTGTCATGCCACGCACTGCTTATTCTCCCCTTCTCTGCATTTCAGGCAAAGTCCTGCGTCTGCCATGTCTGCGGCGTCCACCTGAACAGGCTTCATTCTTGCCTCTACTGTGTCTTCTTTGGCTGTTTTACAAAGAAACATATTCACGAGCATGCGAAGTCAAAACGGCACAACCTGGGTAAGGCACCCCTGTGAGATGGGAATAGTCACTGCCCCTGACTTTCTGTCCTTTGAATTTTGATTTACAGTTGCACTCTTCCGAAAGTCCACTTTTCTGCTATCTAAAACAATCTGTGCCCTTCCTGTGAAACTTTACCGGAGAAATGAAAGAGAGAAACTGAGCTCAAATGGATCAGGTACCCAGTTTGCCTTAACATTTGATGTTACCTTAAATGGTAAATGACAGTGGCTCACCGTTGATGCCCAGCTAATTTTCTTTGAAAAGTTGGTAAGAAATCTTCAGTGCCGTCTCTGCTAATGAATTATTAGACCCTCATCTTTCCCTTTGAAACACATAGTTAGGAATTAGATTAGGCAAAATTTTGCTAAGAAAGATCTTAATGCAGCATTAGGTTATTGAAGTCAACATGGAGTTGGGTGTACACAGGTGATTTTTATTGCTTTCAGAAATGGGTTTTCATTGTTTCTGATGATACAGGTTCAGGTAAAGCTTAACACTTTATATGGTATTTAGATAAATTTACCTTTCATAGACTTAAAAATTCAAACTCATTCTACATTCTGGAAGTTTCACAAAACTTAAGTTTTTCTCTTGGTTTTATTTCCTGACTGTGGTCATTAAATTTAATCTTTCTTTTCATCCTGCACAATAGCATTTTCATTTAAATGTTTATGAAGTTGTTAAGATGTCCTTCAGAAAATCACTTTCAAAGGGTCCAAACCAGAGACCTCTTTTATCTTCTTTTCTTTTTTTTTTTTTTTTTTTAAGACTAGTCAAGTGCAGTAGTGAGGAGAGGGGAAAGTAGTAGAACAAGGAGTTCAATCTGTAACTGACTGTGAACAATCAAGTGAGATAACTCACTACCTTCGGACCAGCCCAGAGACCTGTTGTAGGAAGTAATTCACACGAGCCTAGGAGTTCCAGTTAAAGATATTTTTAGGCCTTTTTCCTCTAAAGTTCTGTAATCTGATGCTCTCTGGAAAACATTAGCCTAAAAAGTCCTAACTGAAAACAATATCATGCAAATTTGTAAAGTCACTACCTTAATCTGTGTCCCTTAAAGCTCTCTATAAGCAGTACACACAGTAAAGGATAAATCCCATAGTTTTAACATAAGCAATGTGTCTGATCTTTTCTTAATTTTTTTAAAGAAGTGAGATGGTTTAAGGCAAAATAGATCTACGTCTTACATGATTTGTTTATGATCCAGCTGTTTTATTATGGACACATGGAAGCTGTCACCTGAATATCATGTTGTTTTACAACAGCTACAATTGTAAAGGAAACATTTCTTTAATTTCTAGGTGACACAGTGATAGCTCATATTAAAGAAAGCATGAAAATTTACAAAACAAAATCTGTTTTTCTTTTTGTTTTGTAATTTATATCAGATTTTGTGAGTTTTTATTTTAGAGCAACTGGGTCGTCTCCAGTAGACATAACACTTGTGTATCCAATAACTAATAGCAACTGTTTGCAAAAAGGCTACTTGGAACTGGGGGCTCAGGTTATAACTGAGCTTGCCAGCCTTTTTGGAAGGAAGGCTGGCAGCAAACAGAGCTGTCGTCAGTTTCAGTGAGCAGGCTGCCTAACTCCAGGGGGGAGGGGGACCATAGTGAGTGATGACTTCTTACACTGAGTAACTGCGGGGAGAAGACACTGGACAGTGTGGATGTGGTGGAATTCTGTGGCATCTACTAATGTAGACATTTGCTTTTAATAACATAAATGAGTATTCCTACCATATCTGATTCTCAGACCAGTTCAGGCTACTGTTAAACCTGGGCTGTAATTCAGTGTGGTTAAAAGGGTTATGGAAAAATTGAAATATATTTGGTGTTCTTTTTGTTGTTGTTGAGTCTTGCTCTGTTGCCAGGCTAGAATGCAGTGGTGCAGTCATAGCTCACTGCAGCCTCAAAGATGAGCTCAAGCTATCCTCTTGCCTCAGCCTCCCAAGTAGCTGGGATTACAGGTGTGAGCCACTGCACCCAGCCTGGACGTGTATTTGTATTTAAGAAAATTGTCTGAAGAATGTTATTATTACTGGGCATCATCTATAAAAATCACTTCAGAATTTTGTGGTGTTAATTCATTTTAGCAACCTGATAGATAAACTCTGCCCTTTTTGTTAGAATGACTGTTTTTGTATGGTTTTCTTAAACAACATCATGAAATGGGAGAAAGATCCAACTGTTTCCTATGTTATTCCAGTCCATGAATTTATTAAAGGTTACATGGGTATCTGTTAAAGCTAGAAATGAGTTTTATGTTTCCTTTGTGACATAATACATAAATAGGATACACAGCAATACCCATGTCTTTGATTCTGTGCTTTCTCGTTTAGGGGGCATTGTCATGCAGTCTTGTATTTGTATTGAGGAATGAGTTTCCCTTTGACTTTAGAACCACTTTAGTCTCCTTTTGTGGAACAAAATAAATATTGGTTCTGAAACCTATTTTTTCAGTAAATTTTTAGTGTCAACATTTATGTGAGGAAGAAGAACGCTCAGTCCTTTGATTTGGAAACTCGATAAGATAAAGCTTAAAAACCTCGCTTACACTGTATTGTTTTGTTTCACTTTATTGTTTGTTGTTTTTCTTTTGGTGTCAGCGCCAAGAAATCATTGTCAGAGCCAATGTCATAAAGATTTCCCCCTAAATTTTCTTCCAAGTGTTTTATAGTTTTGGCTTTTAAGTTTAGGTCTTAGATCCATTTTGAGTTGAGATTTGTATATAGTGTTAGGTAGGCATTCAGCTTCATTCTTTTGCATGTGGATATAAGTTTTTCCAGCACTGTTGACGATTGTTCTTTCCCTAGGAAAGTCTTGTCACCCTTGTTGAAAAATCACTTGACCATATATGTGAGAGTTTATTTTTGGGGTCTCTGTTCTGTTGGTCTATATGTCTGTCCTTACGCTATTATAGTACCACAGCGTTTTGATTATTGTAGTTTTGTACTTTGCTTTGCAATCAGGAAGTGTGGATCCTCCAACTTTGTTGTTCTGTTTCAAGATCGTTTGGCTGTGTGGGGTCCCTTGAGATTCTGTATAGATTTTAGATGGATTTCTCTGTTTCTGCAAAAAATGTTTTTGAGATTTTGATAGGGATTGCATTAAATCAGTAGATCCTTTTGGGTATTATTGTCATCTTAGTTAATAACATGAAGTCTTCCAGTTGATGAGCACAGGATGACTTTCCATTTATTTAGGTCTTATTTAATTTCTTTCAGCGGTAGTTTGTGATTTTTAGTGTTCAAGTCTTTCACCTCCTTGTTTAAATTATTCCTGAGTGTTTTATTCTTTTTGGTGCTATTATAGATGGAATTGTTTTCTGAATTTTCTTTTCAGATTGTTTATTGCTAGTGTATAGAAAACTGCTCTTTGTGTGTTGGGGTTTTATGGTTTGTTTTTTTGTTCTCCCTCATTCATCTCTCAAGTGTGTTGGTTTTTGTAGCCTGCAGCCGAGTTCTTTCATTAGCTTGAACAAGTTTTTGGAGGGGGTTAAGGGAGTAGAATCTTTAGGGTTTTCTACATGTATTAGTAGATTGGGCATCCCTAATCCAAAAATCCAAAATCTAAAATGTCCCAAAGTCCCAAACTTTTTGAGCACTGACAGGACACCACAAGTGGAAAATTCTACACATAAGTGCTTAACACAAACTTTAGACACACAATTATTTAAAATATTGTATAAAATTACCTTTAGGCTATGTGTATAAGGTGTATATGAAACAAATGAATTTCATGTTTAGGCTTGAGTTTCATCCCCAAGATCTCATTGTATGTATGCAGATATTCCAAAATCTGAAATCCAAAACACTTCTGGTCCCAAGCATCTCAGATAAGGGCTACTCAGCCAATATAAGATCATGTCATCTGCAAACAAAGATAGTCTTCCTTTCTAGTGTGGTTGCCTTTTATTTCCATTTCTTGCCTAATTGCTTTGGCTAGACATTGTAGTGCTGTGTTGAACAGAAGTGATGAAAGTGGATGTCCTTGTCCCATTCCTGATCACAGAGGAAAAGCTTCCAGCCTTTCAGCATTTAGTTTGATGTTAGCTGTAGGTTTCTCATAGACACCCTTTATCATATTGAGAAAGTTCCCCTCTATTCCTAGTTTATTCAGTGTTTTTGTCATGAAAAGGGTGTTTGAATTTTGTCACATGCTATTTCTGCATCAAGTGTGATGCTCACGTGGTGTTTTTTCCTTCGTTCTGTTTGTGTTGTACTACATGGATCGATTAATTTTATGTTCAACTATCCTTGCATTCCAGGAATAAATAAGACTTGGCTATGGTATGTAATCCTTCTAATACGCTGCTGAATTCGCTTTGCTAGGATTTTTTTTTTTTAATTTATAAAGACAGGAAATTTACTTGACTAATAGTTCTAGAGGCTGAGAAGTTCAGGATCGAGTGGCCTCATGTGATGAGGACCTTGCTGCATAATTCCATGCAAGGCAAAGGGCAAAAGAAAGCGAGCAAGAGTTTGCTAGTATTTTGTTGAGGACTTTTGCATCCGTGTTCATAAGGGATGTTAGTGTGTACTTTTCTTGTCTGGGTTTGGTATCAGGAGAATGCTGGTCCTGTATGTTAGGAAGTGTTCCCTTCTCTTCATTTTTTAGAAGAGTTTGAGAAGGATTGGTGTTAGTTCTTTAAATGTTTGGTAGAATTCACCAGTGAAGCTATCTGGTCCTGGGCTTTTATTTTTTGGGAGGTTTTTGATTACTAATTCAATCTCCTTGCTAGTTATAGGTCTATTCAGATTTTCTGTTTCTTTTTTTTTTT